AGGCGGAAGGGAGCGAGCAAAGGAAATCGCCGGCGCTATTAAAGCATTCCTGGTCAACACAGGTCTAGCGTTATCGTAACAAGGTTATGTATGTACAGAGGTACAAATTAATTGGTAGTCGTTGCGGAGGCGGGTGTCTGGGACATATAAGTCAACTTGCCTGGCAGTTCCAAAACATGCGGGGTCTGACGTTGCATCCATTGAAAGACAATCAAGAGGGTCGGTGGAAGCGCTGTAAAAAGAGCAACGATAGCAATGATGGCTTCGGTTGAGATGCTCATTTTCAGGGGAACTATCAGGAGCCCAATTTACAAGAGGCTGCAAATATGTGTTTGTGTCCAAGATAAATTGATAAAGAAACTGAACGAGAGCTGAGAATCGTCTCCGGGGGGTGCATGTATTGACTACAGTAGTTCGCACGGAAGTAGATGTCCTAGTGTTCGTTAGAGCAAATTATCGGGTCTAATGGAGCGAGGACGTTTTCTAGTAGTCCGAAAGGGCCCGTCTGCTTGGGTAGAGCGGGGACACCCTCACTGGCCTCTTGTGCCCGTGTCATCTTGCCTGTTTGGCCAGGACGTCAGACACACCGCGATTGGCCGCCATGAACCAAGGCCTCACTTGTACGGAACGAGGTAGTTTAGGGCATGATGAAATTTGACGTTTATATTCTAGAATCACAAGGGTATTTCTAGTAGTGTATCTGACAAAATATAGGCGCGTTACATATGTGGTCGCACTAAAGCTGCTCTGCAGTTGATGGGTACCTACGCTGGAGTCCTGGAGCTTGTAATCTAGTCATCTTATCCAGGTGTAAGAGAAGATGATGTCCGCACACGAATACAAACCAAACAGGTATTCTTCAGTCTGTCAGAGATCATGAGCTCCGCATGAAGATTGAGAATGGTACGTTTACCGAGACATCATCATCAGTACTACTAAGATGGACGAACGTGTGTCCTCCGGAAATAGGTTTGTACAAACGTAGTCGACAGGCCGATGAGTTGACCTAGATGGACGAGCAACTTATAGGGCCACGGCCGCAAGCGTGATCTTAACATTAGTTATGAACCATCGATAACCTTGACTTTATCATGGGGAAAAGAAACCGATGCTAACTTCAATTGCACCGGGAGTTGATGCTTGTGCTGTTTCTAGGGAACGCCCCGATACCACTCGTGAGTTTTCATTTCGCCTGCAAATTAAGGCCGAGAACGCGATGGATAGAATGGCAGGACGACGATCGAACCAGTGATATCCTAGCGTTAATGCGAACCGAAAACATTCTGAAAGATGTGGCTGGGAATTTCGCTTGGAGTCATTCACCCTCCTCAACAAATTGATGCCTGTATCAGCCACCTCAAATAAGCCCCTTCCAGCAAGCCTAGAATAATGTGACACCAATACCTACCTAGCTAGTGGTCATCCAACATTCAGCAAAGCACTAGGCGGGGTCTGGTATGTCCGTTCTTCGTCCACCCCATCTTCCATTAGAGGTGTTGTCCGGAAACGGGAACCCACAAGGCAGCGAGGGTACCGAATACAAATTATTTACTTAGGAGTGCTTGTGTTCCTCGTCAGCATGACCCCAACCTTTAGGAAGGCGGCCGAGATGCTAAGTCACCTTACCCCAACTTGCTCGGACGAATGTGAGTACTTAGACGCATGCACCTCTGATCCTTCTCGAGGTTTCTTCGGCCAACCACCTGCAATCCCGGTGAAGCACGGGTGGAAAATGAGCCAATCGCCTTCTTGACGGATGCCATTGCTAGGCTTTTCGGGAGAGATCTCAGTTGCTCTATCTGCATCAAGAGCAACTAGGTGTCAAAAGTGTTGGTTAGGAGGGTGTTCGTTCCACGCAATCAGCACTTACCTGACCTTGAACCCCCTTGGGTTCTCACCCTACCACTGTCCAACTTCCTAAGTCATGTTGGCAATAGTTGGCAATAGTTGTCAACGCCACGTCTCCATTAGGGCGCGTGGCCTATCAAATCTACGATTCATATCAGATTTCACATACTTCGCTTTATGTTGGGGGTAATATGGCGATTACCGAATAGCAACATTCAATGTTGAATAATATAGTATCACTTCCACGTCAAGTCAAGTTGAATAACTTATGGCTGAGATCACTTCTGGAACGGGGGGAGGGTTAAAGCCGAGGTGTAAATCTCAGACACGGCAGGCGTTATATACATTATGTCAGGTAGTTCAACCGTTACTACTAATTGCAGGGATCAGCCCACTCTCCTCTCTTCCCAAGGCCAACCCCCAAGGAAAGCAACATGGTGAGATATAGAGATCCGACTGACAATTTATCGTAATGATGCCAAGGATCGCTTCAAGCCCGCCTGGCCAGAGCAAGGTCCCGTCACTGCTACCTTACTGAAGAGCAGGAAGGAAGCTATGAGTAAGGACCTTGAAATATGGTAATCCGCGTTTCATGCGACGTAAGTTATCATGTCTGACTCCCTTCTGGTATTTATGGACATGTTGCTATCACGAGTATATCTTCATGAGTGTAAATCTTAGCGTCTCTCGGTCGCCCTCGATCCGTCCCGCCCAGGTGGGGTGTGGGGCCGAAATATCGATCTCACTTCGCCGATTGAATGGACCGGGCCTGGCCGACCGGACCCTATGTTCCCGGTTGCATAGAGTGCCTCCCCTCCCAATATTGGTGATGCATGCAAGCATGGACAAGAGGAGCCCGTTATGATTCCCCGTGTGCTATCAGATAGGCCTTGAACGATCCGACGTCACCCTCGAGTACCTGAATGTCTCGCGCGTCACTGAGTACCATTCCAATTCGTTCATGTTCCGGTCGAGATTGTGAGGTGTAAGCGCGGAAAGCTTGCTATGGGCATCGGGCATCAGTCTCCACGGTTGGTGGGATTGAGCAAGGGCGGAAATCGCTGGTGCTGTTATACAATGAGTTAGCAAACCTCGAGATTGAGGATATTCGTCTCTATGGTGTAATGGAATTTGCGAAACTTAGCAAAAGATTGAGATTTACCCGGGAGCTCCGTACGCTGCCTTTTTTGCCGGATACATTGCAATACTTTGAACACAATGGGGGGAAGCGCGATGAACAGAGCGACAACAGCGATGATAGCCTCCGTTGACATGCCCATGGTCGGGAAAGCGGTCTTAGCCAGGAACCCTAAGTGTCGAGGTTATCATTCTTCTATACTCAGTACCGCGATTGAAGGCGGTAATTACGCAGAACACCTTGAGCAGAAGCGTGCTTCTACCAGATCTTAGATTGTGTAAGCAACCTCGTTCGTCTTTTAATAAATATCAAAATTCAAACACCAAGCCCTCACTTTTGGCCGGCACCCCGCGCAGTCACTGCGCCGTATACTGTATTTGAGAGGAGGTGATTGAAGTGATAGGCTGGGCTAAGGTACTCTGCTAGCGCGATAAGACTCAAGGCCAGACAGGAGAGCGAGGGCGGAGCGAGGGCGAGCCTGAGCCTGGTTGCATGCGATTGCTGGTGGTATTCGGGACCTGCTGCACAGTCGATATTCTCCTCTAGGGGTGCTAGTCTTAGATTAAGCTGCGCATCACCTCTCTCTGATGCTAGCGATTGGCCGTGATTCTACACTCAACCTGAGGAAAGGTAGTAAGGTACCTCAGGTACCGGTAGGTGGATGGTCAGGCACCCTATTAACTGATTCAGCGTTCCGCGCTAACCCTCTCATCCGTCACAGGCTGGATACTGACCTCAGTTGCGTATATTCGAACTTCAACGCCTCGCGTGCTACGGAGTAGCGCTCTGATACGTGGAGAGCTTCGGGCTGCTGCACCCCTCCATGCCGTTAGATGAGCCCCGGTCCATCCTAACCCTGGCAGGGGAAACGAGATGAGACGGCATCTTCGGCGTGAATTCGGTATGGGTGGTCCTGCACATACCATTGGGCATATGTAGTAAGGTAGTCGTCGACTGCAGCCGCCTTACCGACGCTTGCCTGGATCTGGAAAGGCGGTTTATGGGCCGCCGCTAGGTCGAGTCAAAACTAGCTCCGGAAAAGGTACATGTCTCTCTACGGGGAGTTCTTTTGGATTAAGCCATTCTGCTGTGTATTTCTCTCCACTATCTCGTCGCTTCTGGAAACTCTCGATGGCGAGCATCGGGGAGACAAGGACTGCTGGATTCTGGGCTGTCGGCAGAAAAGGCGGATCTTAAAGGCAGTCAGGGCCATGCCGATGGCCCTTCCACTCACATACCACCTCGGGAGAAATTGTGGACTTCGCCCATTTCCTCCTCCTTCCACCTCCATGCAGCAATAAACACAACTTTATTGACCCTTCGAGCCAACCGTATGGTTGTCTTGCTGGCGTTTATACCATCAAGGGAATTTGAGGGATATTGTCACTCGACCGAGTTTTCATTTTATTTTCACAGAACAAAATCAAACCACATGCTTAGATGGTGTTAATATTGTCTGCGATGCCTAAGGATAGGATACGTCAAGTCTTTATACACATACGACCATGGAGCCAAAATTTGGACCCCAGGGTCAGGGAGTTGCCTGGCGTTGTGGAATGCTTTTATGGTCCGAATATGTCTCAGTCACCTCCAATCAAGGTCAGACTTTGGTGGTGATTGATTGTCACCAAGAAAGAGATATTTGACCACAATTGGGGGCATTTTGACGAAGGAGAGACTGTTTAGTCATTCATGCTGCTAAAACCTTGGCCGGCAGATGGACGTCATTTGCGCCACTTCCCGCCAGTAGCATCTGCTGGAAGACTCAATGGAAGGGACATCTCGACACCACCAGCTGTAAGGGATTCCTCGTGCCTTCCGTAAGAAGTGACGTTCCCGAACCTGGTGAATTCCATCTTTAATATAACACAGCTAAGTTACAACACTTCTCAGAGACAAATTGATTTATATCAATTGATACAAAATAGTTCGTAAGGTCCTCAAAAGCTTAAAGAGACCAGATCACTAGAGATCATGATTGAGATATCAACTGGAATTGCTGTTATCGCGTAGCCTATTCGAAGCTTTCCTCAAAGTCATTAGCCTCCAGATGTACTTCAGCTGGAGCTATCATTCTGTCCAGATTCATAAATAGGCAATCATTCGCCTTGCTATACAACATATCCAAGTGCTTATAACTTCCGCCCAGAGTGGTCCCAACTATCCTCACAATCTCCATCAAGATATCAATAGGACCGACATGCATAGCGGACCAATTACCCGTGGCTGGACCGAGCGATATCAGATCTGCCAGCGAGCATCCTACATCAAAAACCTTCTCTAGTATGCCGACACCGTTGGCTTCAAAAGCCTTCGTTGGAAGCAGCCGCGAAATAAGAACGACGTCGCGGGCTACGGCGGCAGGGTAGCTCAGTGACATGCTATCCTCACTATCCGTGATAGATAAGAGCGTCTTGGACACGCATAGCTTCCATACAATGACCTTGAGCCATTGCCGTGAGATCAAGAGGTCGGCTTGCTGCATCTCGGAATAGTTTGAAACACTTGGGATCGCGTACTTCAGGACGGTCTGTAGTTTTGAGAGATGTTCCGGGTCTGTTGCTTCCGAAGACGATGTTCTGGATGGCGTCGACGAGTTCCATGTTGCGATAAAGTCGGTATCAAAGTTCCGGAAAAGGGAGATGAGATCAAGGAACCCGGGAAGAATCGCGGCATCTGAGCTTAGAGGGTCAACAAAGGGGAGACCCAGGGTGCTCTGCAGTGTCAGCGGCCTGTGCCTCTGCAGCGCATACGCTCTCTCCGTGATGAAGAGAACCCAAAACATGTGTCGAGCATACGTCGCCAGGACCGGATCGTTGATGTCGCGGTACGTGGCTTCTTCGTGTAGACGTAACGTCTGCAAAATAGTGATAGACTCTCGGAGATAGAACCATGCCGCGTTATCATTGTCCATACAGAAGAAGGCTGAGAATAGGAAGAAGGAAGTTTGCGCATGGAGTAAGGACTGGTGCTCAGCGAGATCCCAGTGACGTCTAGCTCGAAGAGTTTCTGAGATGAGAACCTCGGTCGTTGGAAGAATGGGCGCAGGAACTTCGGCTGAAATATTTGATGGCGGGTCTGGTGGTTGTAGTATCTCAGGCGAGAGGGATATGACAGCAGAGCAAGCGGTCATGAGCCCGTATTTCTCGGGTGAGGTTGAGAGATCGCGCAGACATTCTTCGACTTGTTGTCGATTTAAGATAGGTGTAAGTGGGTATTTGTGTCTGAAGAAAGCATCGAGACACCACTGCATGGCATCAGTCGATACTAGGGGTGAGGCTTGGAAGCCGGGGTCTGTTGGAGTCGCAGTCTGAGTCGGTAATGGTGGCGTGACTGCATGTGGTGATCCGCTCGCCGGGGACTCGTATCCGGTTTCCCTTGAATCTGTGTTCACAGCAAAAGACGTAGATTGTTGTGAATTGTTCTGTCGCCGTTGGATAGACTTCCGTGCATGCCGGGGACCTTTCGGCCCTGTCTTCTTCGGGACCGCCACATAGGTGCACTCCAATATTGTCTCCTGACAGTTTGCGCAGGGCCAGCAGCCATCGCAGCGGATTTTGCGCGAGTGACAAGGATCACAGGCTTGTCGAACCTTGGGTGGCCTCTTAGAGTATCGGACCTTGGTTTCTTGGGGCATGATGCATATTCATAGTAGATAGATCGTGAAGAGGCGAAGATCAGAAAAGCGTCTTGCAGGATGGATGAGCGTTGGGGTAGGGGGTCACTTCACGTTGTGGGCAGAACTTCTCCAGATTCATGGCAAGACTCCGCACTCTCCGCAACGTCGTTCTGGGGCACATTTTTGAACTAACCCAAGTAAGGAACTTGCATTACTAGCGTGGTATTTCTTCCCCATCCTTACGGAAAATTTAGGCTAAATTTTGAGAACTCGAAAACCGCTCGCTTTGTATGAAGATGTGGTTTTTGGAAACCTAGACAAACGGCAGACTGGACAACCCTCCTACATGTATACATTCGACAAAACATAACCTGCACTGTATCAAGAGGTGGCCTTCTTGACAGCAACCCCATCCACCATAACGTATTCGCTAAACTTCCTTGCCGGAATACCCTGGGCATACATGTGATCGATGTCCTGGTAAGTTCTGTTCTTCGTCTCGGGCTGGAAGAAGAAGAGAAGCCCAAGAACGAAAACCTCAGCGCCGACAAAGAGGAACATGATCTTGCCACCCCAGTTCAGTTGGTCAGGGTTGATAAAGAATGGGAACACTGACGACAAGAGAAGAGCTGTAAGCTGCTGGCACACCAAGCTGAAGGCGATGGTCTTGGGTCTCGTGGCTTGCGAGGCAGTCTCCTGAGCGACAGCCCAGCCGAAACAGCCCACTGTAGCGGTATAAAGCATCGACCATGTGATCATGAAGGCGAGAAGTGCCATGTTTGCGGAGTAGTTGCTGGTTCCAGCGAGGGATGTGCCACCGATGATGATGGACCAGCAGCACAGCAATACGCCGCCGCCGACCAAAGATTTCCTGCGAGGGAGGACGTCGGAGACTGTAACTGCTACGCAGTTCGAGAGGAATTGGAGGGTGGAGGAGATTGCAGTGAGTCCGAAGGGATCAGACTGGCCGATAAGCTCGAAGTAGTAGGTCTGGTATGTGTCTACAATCGGTTGGTTAGCAAACCGAGTGTCAAATGACATGGCATGACATATACTCACTTGCGAAATAGCCACCAGAGAAGTTCTGCGATTGCAATCCAAGAACCGCAACAAGTGTACGGAAGCGGTGCTCCTTGGAAAATATCGCTCTCCAGCTGGTCTGCTTAGCCATGTTGGCCTCTCCTGCCGCAAGCTCCAGCTCAGATTTGATGAAGTTGAGTCTCTCGTCAACGTCGACGTTCTTGCCGTAGAGCTTGAAGATTGCCTTGCGGGCATCGTCATCCCTACCCTTCTTGACGTACCATACCGGGGACTCAGGCAGCCATGGCAGGACAATCATGAAGAGCGTCGGGACAAGGAAGGTCATAGCGAACGCGAGGCGGTAGCTCCATTGGCCGTCAATCTTGGAGGATCCCCATGCTGTGATGGAAGACAGGAAGAAACCGAGAACAATGATGACATTGGTCAACGAGCTGAGGGAGCTTCGAAGTGCAGGAGGAGCATTTTCGGTAACGTAGAGGGGAGGCGTAACGGTTGACAAGCCGACCGAGAAACCGAGCAGCAGCTTTGAGACGAAGAGTACAGGTAAGCTTGGCGCGAAGACCAGGGCAAACGAGGAGGCAAGGGATAAAATGACGGCTGTCCAGAGAACGGCTCTGCGGCCAACGGTGTCGGCAAATTGACCAGTGAGAAAGGCACCGAAGACCTGACCAATGGTGCTGGCGGCGTTCCACAGAGATTGCCAAAGGGCAGGGATGACATATTGGTCTCCGACTTGGTAGTAGTCTCCGTAAGCCTTGCGGAATTCGGGGAAGGCGATTGCAGCCCCTGAAAGTCCAGAGTCGTAGCCCCATCCGAAGACGAGGGACATGATGTAGAGTGCCCAGAAGACATAACGCTTGTCTTGTTTCAGGTTTGCCCAGAGACGCTGGTATTGCTGCTTCGGGGTCAGGTCTTGGTTCTCGGTTGCCTTTGTAACGGCTTCGTCCGCAATGGCGAGTTTCTCGATGTGGTCGTGGGCGACGACAGTCGTCGCCTCTGCTGATTTGGCGTCCATTGTAAAAGGGAACAAGATGAGATAATCTAGTCGAAGGTATTATGATTAAAGAAGTGATTTTAGATGATCTGGAGAAAAGCTCTAGTAGAAACCAGGTAGGGGGGTTTTGTGGACTTTATACAGTTTGGAACAAGAGGTTCCATCGAGCCATGTGCTCGGTTCCGAATAGTCTGGACATCTGCATTGGACGACACCAGTGGCAGCAGTCCCCACGGGGAACTCGGCATGGAGATCATTACGCACTAGCAAGGAAAACAAGTCCTTGGGTTCGCCATTCGACTGGACCAGTCCGCGTGTCTGCTCATATTCGCATGCCTCGCTGGAAATACTGGTCTGGTGGATCATCGGTCTTTGATGGCACCGGTTGAAATGGTTGAATTTCGATTGGTTGTTTTGCCCTCTGGTGGAGAACTGGCAACTCACTAACACAAGACTTCAGCCACGAGCCACGGCAATAAGCCGTGAAAGGTGCTTGCACCCGTCCTCCGGTGATGGACAATTTCACGCAAAAAACTGCGATTGTCCCATCTTCACGCCACTCATGGCCCATCGAACGAAATTATCGAGAGACTGAACAACCAGACTTGTAAGTTCATTGGCTCTAAGTCTTGGCGAACTCACTGAAATCATCACTTTACCTTCACTCACGACTCTGGATACTGATTAGTGACGAGCCTGAGAGCCAAAGTGGTCTCATAAACTACACGCCACGAGCAGTGTCCAGACTCGCGGTTCAGACATGGCATTGAGACCCTTGGACAAGGAATTGGTCAAACACATATTCTCGTAGACGGGAACACTAGCAAAGTACGATCAACTTTATTACGAGCTCACATGGACCCTGTCAATCTGCCGGAAAGCATGGCTCGATTGTACAGGTTGCAGCATGTGCGTATCACGAGACTGCTCAAGCCTACCCTTTGTTGCCTAGTAGGTTTCTACACGCTTCGAGACTTCTGATCGGTATTGTTTCCGAAGTACATGCAACAAAAGTGATTTCTGACTTCGGCCGAGGCATTTTGCACTCGTCGAAGACTTGGACCAGGCATGGCGGGGCCTCCTGGTCTAAGGTAGTCATAAGACTTGATAAGATCAGTCGATAATATTGTTTACTCTGGATCCTGTTTCAACTAGCAGCTCCACGTCGGCATCTTGGCTTATTCGCCCTGTAGCTCTGGCGCAGAGCCTAGAACATCAGATGTTGGTTGTTGTTGTTTCTTACCCAAGTACTGAGTATCTGTACCTAACACAAGACAGAAATGCGACAATAAACTACAGATTCTCTTTTGAACTGCGTGACAGCCGTCTTCGGACGGTTGTGCGATTAGATGAGTGAAATAACCAGACAATTTTAACACTCGCAGGAAATGTGGATGGAGCACAGGCATATGGTTGAAGTTGAATGATAACAGCATGTGTCATGTACAAAGCCAGATGGATTGGTCAATGTCAAAAAGCGCGTTCAAGGAAAGAGCCCCGAGAAACAACATGAATAGTTCACGTTGTCAAAGTGCGGCGTGAGGCTCGTTTTCGGCACTGTGATCCAACGGAGCTCCTTAGCCACCAGCCACTCGTACGCTTTCAATATCCCGAGAATTTCAGCGTCGTTCAGCCCCATAGTCCCACGTGCAGGTTATGGTTTTCTCACAGCCCGGCAAAATTTGCCTTCCCCGTGTTTCTCTTTTTCTCCGCGTCTCTCCGTGGTATCCACAAGAAGGTAGGTAGTTTGGTCAACTGTGTGTCCTGGATTCGAGACCGAAGGACCGACTCCAAAACACTTTTATAACATTTTCCCAGTAATATAACCTAATTCAAAGCTCAAATGTGGCAACTTGGACCGATTTATGTTAGTGTCTTAAACTTGCGGTCCCACGAAACGATCTTGGGCTGAATTCAGCAACTACACTGCAATGTGTGATGACTGCTGCACAGCACTAGCAGCTTCCCCACGCTGATGTGGACGAATCAGAATTCAACCATGGAAATTTAGCCGGCCCCAACACGCATCACAAGTAAGACGAAGGAGGCTGTTATTAGTGCGAAAGATTCTGGCACCAACTCCCAATCATCAGTGAGACTCGTTGATCTGGGGTAAGTAGCTGCGGGGGTTAAGTTTCTACGAGCCAACTTGAAAAGCTAGGAATCTGGAGACTGAACATAAGAAGCGAACGAACTTGACTTTCTGAAGCGCCCTACCATTGCAACACTACGACTGTCCTTACTCTTGAGTCTACTCACA